TATTGTAGACCTATAGGAAGAAAACCTACTTGTTTCCTGCTTTGAATTTGGAGCCATTTTTAAATTATTAACAATTTAATGCAAAAAAACGCAATCTTTACTATGATTATTAATGATAATAGTGTTAAAAAAATAGATTTTTGGAAGAAAATTATTTTTTCACTATTCACATTTAATTGTTTAAACAAACTAGATTATGAATTAATTAATTAATATATAAACAAATTACATATTTGTAATGTACGTAGAAATTACATACAAATTAAAAAAGAATGATCAAAATCCATTGAGTAGAACCGGAGATATAGAAAATTTTATTAGTTTTAAATTGTTTGTTCGGTATAGATTTGTACTCCATGAATTTGTAGGTTATTCCTAATCACCATTTAAACTACATTTTTAAAATTCGTAGAAGGTCCTGTAAAGGTACAACATTTGTGCAAATTTTTTATCAAAAAATACAAATCCCATTCTTTATCATGGCGTCAAAGAGGTTCCTTAATTATTATAATCAAATTAGCTGTGAATAAACAAAAAAAATGGCTAACTTTGACCCAAATTAACCTAGGTCAAATTTTTTTATTTGAAAATTCGGGGAAAATACTAGCTTTTCGAATGTAAAAAAAGATTTCTTCTAAGGGCAATGTTTTTAAAGTTCTAAATGTTTATAAACTAGATAATTTCAAAAATTTGGCATCAGGATTTTTGATTATGATAAATCATTTTTTTATCATTTTTTAATACATATTGATAGTATCTTTTGCTTTCATTTGTCGCCCACAGCATTACCCTATCTTTAATATTTTCTGTCTTATTTTATTGTAAAAAAAGACCCCTGGGATAAACAAATACAAAAACTTTTAAACTGATTAATATATCGGTTCCAAATTTTGAGGGTTTGTTAAGTATCCCAATACCCAACCTTCGCTGGAACTCTAAAGTAAAGTTGTTGTATTCAAAGTTTTTAACGAATATCAATTGTCACTTATTTTGCAGTTTGTAAAGCAACAAATTGACTTTTCAACTTACAAAAATCAGCATTTTGAAGCTTTGTCAATATTCTAAAAGATAAAATTTTGTAATTTATGTCAAGTATTTAGCTTTCTAATGAGTGGAAAAAATCGCGTTTCTTGCATTATATTAAATCATTAAAAAACGGCTCCGAACTTTAGACAGGAAACAGGTAGGTTTTGTTCTTATATGTCTACAATAACTAAAATAGTTGTCAGCTACCTGGATTATTGATTGTCACGAGAAAATCCTTATTACTCTGGACTAATATGACTGGACAAGCAAGTGACGAAATATATTATGTAAACTTTACTAACAAAAACGTTTAAAATAAATAGTCCAATAAATATAATTAATCAAATTCCATATTCAAATACTGCAAACTATTTGGGTATTACTCTGAGCTCATGTAAAGAAGAAAAGAAAATAATAATTCTGATTGAAATACAAAAAAATGTACTGACCGATTGACCAAAATTCTACTCTGTTTCTACATAATAAATTATAATTATATAAGTAAATATTGAAACAATAGTATTATTATAAAAACAGTATAAGCATTTAGAAGGAAAATGTCACAACTCAACAGAAAATATTTCTATTCATATAAAAATTTAATCAAATTATAGGTACTTACTGCTTATTTATATAAAATTTCCTCAATCGTCGTCGACTTTTTCGTCCGGAGCATAAACGTCTTCGCGAACTACCCATTTTAAAAACAACAAAACACACTGGTTTGTCAAAACTAGTCAAAAGTCGAAATAAGCCCTAATAATGTTATTCAACATTATTTATGACCCTCCAACTTTCTTACCTACTCGTCGGCGAGAGTCTACAAACTATCAACAAGGACAGCTTGTACTGACCGAGAGAGAGAGTACATTTAGCACAATTTAACATTTTTTAAATAGTTTATATGAAATAGCTGCTTTGTCTTACACTTTATGTTAAAAATAAAAACAGATTCGGAAAGTGGGTAAAATTCTGTAGTGCCCTATTTCAAAAAAAAAAAATTTTACGTTTATTTTAACCAAAAATATTTAAAAAAAAAATATTGTTTAAACAATTTATTAATTTACAATCAAATAGTGCACTAGAACTTTTTAAGACCTTTCATATAAAAAAGAATCATCTCAATATCTGCCATAGTTTTTGCGTTATTTGATATAAACTTTTACATTGGAATTTAGTTATGCCCAGAATCGCGAGGAATGGCCTTAATTCGTACATCTACATGTTTTTCCAGCAAGACCTAATCATGACTACTCCACTAGAAATTCAAGCGTTGATGTGTATTTACCGATCCCTTTCACTGAGTTAGTAAAGAAATCTAATATATTTGGCAAAAAAATTATACAACCATCTCTCTTTGCAACTTAAATCTGCAAATTCTTTCCTTAAGTTCCGTAAAATAAGATAAAAAAAATATCTATCGTTTTCTTAAGGAATAACTAAGAAATTACAGAAGTGTGTCTACAAATAACCAAAGTTTTTTAATATATATTTAGACTTTGCTGCACATGCAGCAACTTAAACTTTTAGTTCGTTAGGTTTTATTACGCAATTTGCAATTTATTTAAATTTTGCAATGGATTAAACATTTTATTATCTTTTATTTTGTGGTGTTGATGATTTATGTAATTTCAGTAAATTTTAAATTTTTATTGGTATTTTTCTGACTCTTTGTTAGCTTTGTCCATAAAATTGTACAATTTTTAGTGACAATAAAGCATATTATTATATAAAATTATTGAAAATTGATAGTTTTTTAAGACCGTGGAAAGTGGATTTTTGGCGAACACTCAAATACAAGCAACGTGTAGGTATTATGTGTAAAAATGTAGTTATGAATAATTACTATAGACTTAGACGGAACTGAAATCGAAAGTGTCTAAGAGAGTATATATACCTAGGTCACACGATCAAACTAGGCAAACAGAATAAAATAGCAGAGAACACTCGAAGAAATGGAATAACTTGGACAGAAAGTAGTAGAAAGACTAAATGTTGTATTAAAAAACAAAAGATAGAAATAAATCTAAAGAAAAGAGTATTCAACAATTGTATCATACCACTTATAAGTACACGGGTTTGGAACCGCTCTCAGCGAGCATGTCTGACTCGTCGACCTTACTCGTAGCTCCCCCTAACACCCCCAGCGTGAATTTCATGGATTGGTCAACCTCAGAGGCGCCCCCCCCCCGCCCAGCCTCTGACAGCGAAGCGACAGAGGATGGAAAAAAATTCGACCGGGACGCTCTTCAACCCAAGGTGGAACCAACCATCAGATCTAAGAACCAATCATAACCTACTCATCTACCCATTCATTCTGACAGTCTGATGGGGCAGTCTGTGTCGGTCGGATGTAAAAGGTGCTTCTCCACTGACTGTTCCCAAGATGATACATAACATACAGGAAAGAAATAGACTGAAAAAAGGAGATGATAAGAAAAAGCAAATATAGGACTAGAAAAGGAACAAAGAAGAGGAAGGATAAAATGAAAGATAGGAAAGAAACCAGAGAAAAAAGAAAGAAAAGATAGAGAACATAAACAGGAAAAGGAAAATGAAAATAAAATTGTTCAGCGAACACTAACGTCTAAGTAAAATCAAATGAAGAATAAATCTAAGATAAAGTAAATAAATAAATAAAACTATGATAAACTAAATAAATAAGTAAAACTGTGTAAAAATAAAATAAAATAAATTAAATTAGGCAGTCAGTGTGGTTTGGGTGTAAAGGGTCCTCCCCCACTGGCTGCCTTTTACGACACAAGACACGTTAAAAAAATTAATATACGGTCATTCTGTCTGCAGTCGCCTCTCTTCCCCTTCTTTATGCTTTATTGTCGGTGAAACAAAAGCAATGATAAGGTCGAAGTCATGCTTGCTGTCGATAGCTTTATCAATTAGCTCGCGAGGTTCGCCTAGAGGTGATCCCAGGCCCAGCTGCAGCTCGGTACGCCCCGCGTGATATGCGGGACATACGATCACCCCGCACTCAGGACATAGATCGTTCTCGGTTTTCCCTATACGATGGGTGTATTTCCTGAGTGATCCATGCCCTGTCAAGAACTGTCTGAAGTAATAGTTGACGCGCCGATGTCGATACCCGTACCACCTCACTACGTCGGAGATCAGAGATCTCGTCCAGTCAGCCTTCCTAAATTTGGCTGCCACATTCTTTTCCCATTTTCTCTACCACGTCTCTGGACTTGTAGCTCTTTTTTGTAGCCCTGAACCTATCGCTCCGTTGCCCTTTTGGTACATTCGTATTCTCTCCTTGGCCAAGACGTGCACCGGTACAGAACCGGCCACCACCTGTAAGGCAATGGTTGATACAGTCCTGTAGGCAATGCACAATCTAATAGGGGTTTCCTCTGAGCCCTAATAAGCATTTCTTTAAATTTTTTCATCCGAAGGACCTCGTGCCACACTGCGGCCTCGTATAGTATTATTGACAGTATTGATTGGAGCATGACTGCCCCCTTTTGGGATCCGGGCCCCCCGATGTTGGGCATTAACTTGTTCAATGTTGAGTTCCTTTCTTCCGCCTTCCGACATACTTATTGCCCATGCTGTCCGAGAGAGAGTCTGTCATCGAAGGTTATTCCTTGACTGTCCTTTGGGGTCTTATTTCGGAGTCTTGATATTCGAAGATTATATCGTTTCTTTTTCTTGGTCCCTCAAGATTATTACTTCTATCTTTTCTAGCTACCACCAGTTATGTTCTATGTATATTAGACCGTGGGACTTACAGAGGGTCATCAAACGAGCTATGTTAGGTGTTTCTCTGAGAAAACATCTAAAAAAATTTCTAAACGATGTAGTAAAATACCATTTATAAGGAGTAATCAAAACCTTAAATCCTAATTATAATTTTTAAATAAAATATTTTAGAAAAACCACAACCTAGGTCAATTAAGATCAGTTTTAGCCATGGCAAGGTTAAATACAGATCATACGAAAATATTATATATTTTTAGGTCTCGATGAACCCATTTTACCAAGCCAACGAAGCAGAGAATTTGATTAAACAGGTAAAGATAAAAGGCCTTATATGTGGTGATGTATTTCGTAAACAAGATTACTATCAGATATTAAGATCAATTTGTCCGGAATTAGAGAACAGTAAACCTGGTAAAATCCATAGTGATAAAATTCCTAGTTTGCGAACTGTTGTACATATAACGGAAGAAAACAAAAAGTAAGTACACACTAGTCATTATTCGTATTTTCTTGTTTGTGCTATGCGTTTTAAGACATGTAATTATAAAAATTCAATTTTTTTTATTTTATATCCAGATTGATCTCATTTCCTATTTCCTCATTTTTTTCTTGCAATCGTGTTTTTAATATAAATTATTTCGATGATTTTATGGGGTTTATCTCCACTTCTTCCCTTTTTTTCTTCTTAGATTTTGTATAAATCTACTGGATTTCCATCTTTATCTTCTGGCTTTTATTACTTCTGTTTTACGACCAATATTTTAATTCATGAAATCTTTATGAATGACTAAAACCTTTCAAAATACGCGAGAAAAATAAGGTATCTAGAAATTTCTGAGTACTAGACAATACCTTGTAGATTCGAGGGTACAATGTCCAAGATCGATCGACCTAACTTCATATTAATCAAAAATCGAAAAGAAATAACCTGGCCTAATGACAGTTTTAGAGAATTAATTTTCCTGTACCCTACTGCATAAATCTCTCTCTACTCATATTTAGTTATTGCTTTGTAATACTGATCCTAGTTACAGTTTAAATGTCAGAAAGACACTATTATCATTATGGATTGTTCGCTATCGGCTGGGGTGTTTCTTTTTCTGGTGTAAATGTTTGCCTACGTTGGCTCGTTTAGGCAAAGTAGTTTTTTCTCTTTCTCTTCTCTCAGGGCTATTTATGGGTAGAGGATGGTACAGCAATCGCTGTTGTTTATAGTTGTCTACCACTGGTAGCGGTTGTCCTGGAATCCTGCCAAGAAATATTAGTGAGTGGAAAAAGGGGAAACAAAGGTGAAAAATGGTTTTTTAGATGTTTCTATATTATTGTTTAATTTTGCTATATTCTATAAAGCGCCTTGCGGAAATACTTCTTAATCATAGCCTATTAATCTCATAACTACTATTACAAAAAAACGCTAAAGCCTAAACTCTTGTCATATTTCTATGTACAGTTATATTTTTGATTTGTTTTAGAGGAACATTTAAATTTACTGATATACTAAACATGGCTGATGAAGATACTATATTACAAATTAAAAAACGCCAAAACAAAATAAAATTTGATGGTCCTTGTAACATTCAATTTACATCGGTAAGTATTAGATAATTGGTCTTTTTTTGAGTTCTCTGTTAAAAATCGGTAGTACCATGGCCGAATTGGCTTATTGTATATCTTAAGTATGGAGATCCAAAATCGCTACATGAAACCTACAAGGTACCCGAAGAAAAATGCTAATGGTAACAAAAAAGTCAGTAACTATATGCAAATCTACGGCGGTTTACAAAAGAGTCATAGAGCCAAACAGGCTGTAGCTACAATCATTTAAAATAAATAAGTAAAATATGTTAAGCAAATTATCATGGTAGAACTGACAAAAAATTTACCATAATATAGTTATCAAGGGATTTATGCCCCCACGAACAAGCGGCGATAAAAAATAAAGAAGAATTTTACAATTATATACTGAACGTATTAGAAGGAATTAGGTATTAAAGTCTTAACATATTTCCAATAATCTCTAATTATTCTGTTACAATAATTATTAATAATACACGTAAATATATTCTAATATTTTCCATGTAGATCAGCCTAAATAAAACGAGCTTTTTGTCTCGTTCAGACTTCAGCCACAAACAGGTTGCTTATTTTAATATTTAACACATTTTGATAATATTTTACTGCAAATTCTCTCCTTCTTAATATACAAAACTATAATTTTTACGACCGCAATTGCCAACCACCTCACAAGTTTTTTTTTATCTATCTAGAACTGGATCAACAATATCTGTTCGTTTTTTGGAATTCGTACAATATTTAGTTTAATTGTTTTATACAGTTTCTTCGTAATGTATAAAAAATTGGTTTTTGGAACAAACCTGGGACAAAAAATGTGAAGACATAAACAGATATATGGGTGGTACTCGAGTATCTGAAGCATGGAAGTTTATAGGAAGCCTTAGAAAAAATCACAAAGGAACAGGGAGATTAAATCTCATATGTATGTCAGATTGGAAAGAATATTACAAATCCCTATTGACGGAAGCAAACAGTAGTTGCTTAATAAATTACAGTGACTTTGGAATAGATTCAATTAACGAAGAAGAAGTATAACCAAACAGTGTGGACGAGATTGGACGAACCTTAAAGGAAATGCAAAACAGAAAAACCACAGGACCTGGAAACATCCCCATTAAATTAATAAAACTCGGACCATCAATACTGAAAATTTACCGACTTGTAAATTTATTGTTCGATGATTTAAAGAAAACTTATGATATAATCTACTTAAAAATATTGTTTGGGATATTGACGAAGGCAGGCCTAAGTAATGCATAGTATCAACGATATAGCGAACAGGCAGGTAAATGTAAAAAGTTCAGTAAAAATGAAAAATAACGTTTCAGACGCATTTCCCGTCACAAAAAGCTTAAAAGAAGGATCTTAGAAGGAACAAATCTTATCTTCGAAAACAATCAAGTGGTTATAGCAAACGATAAAGAAGACATGGAATATATTATTCGGAAGTAAACCGAAGAATACATAAATTGGGAACTCACTATTAACATTAACAAAACGGAATATCCTCAGAATATATGTATGTACACTTAACAGGCCTTTGAGGCCCATTGCTAGATGGATTATTTTCATCGTTTTCTATTCTTAACTATAAGCTTCTAATCTCTGATTCCCGTCTCTCTGACATCTTCCATCTCTACATCTCTCCATTTCTTTCTCCATCTTCCTCTCTTTTTTTGCTCTCGGGTACTCTCCAAGCAATATTCTTGACTAGTCTATTATCTTGCATTCTTTCTCGATGACCGAGCCATTCTAGTCTACGTTTTTTCACCACTTTTGTTATTGCAGGTTTAGCATACAAATGATACACTTCTGCATTAGTTCGTCTTCTCCATTCTCCTTCTACTACTTTTTCACCAAATATTATGCGAAGTATTTTTCTCTTCCATGTTTCCAATGCGTTCTGTATGGTTTTGTTCATAGTCCATGTCTCGGCAGCGTATAGCATTGTGGGTCTAATTATAGTTTTGTATACTCTTATTTTTGTATTACGAGATATATCTTTGGCCTTAAATATTTTGTTCATGGCTCCTGCACATATGTTGCTCTTGGTGAGTCTCAAGTTGATTACAGTTTCTTCCTTACATATCTGATCAATAAGAGTACCTAAGTACATATATATTCATCCACTTTCCCGAATTCTACAACTGATCCATCCTCCACCTCCAATCTAAAATATCCCCTGGTGTTTATTCCTCTTTTGCTCGAGATCTCCATGTACTTCGATTTATCAATATTAACTTTCAGTCCCATTTTAGAGCTTTCTCGAATAAGTCTTTTTATTATATTTGATAGTTGTTTTCCATTTCTTGCAATGAGAACCACATCATCAGCGTATGTTAAGCATTGGTGCTCCTTGTATAAAATAGTTCCGCACCTAGTTATCCCACTAACCCTTACAATTTTTTCTAGAACTATATTGAATAGCAATGTAGACAACAGGTCTCCTTGGCGAACACCTTTTTTCACTTCGAATTCTTCTGAGACTGTACCGTTGCATCTCACAACACAAATGGTTTGTCTAATTGTCATTTTTACCAATTTTATTGCATGGCACTTGGAATTCTTTAGGTGTTTCTATTAACTTGTTTTTGTCTATTGTATCGTAGGCAGCTTTGTAATCAATGAAAAGTGCTTGTGCTGAAGCGTTGTATTCATAGCAATTAATCAGGATTTGTTTTAGCATATCCTCAGAGTATTCTAGAATAAAGGTCAAAGAAAGAGACCAACAATATTGTAAATACAGATATAAAAAAAATACAAAAAATTTAAATACCTGGGGACAGTGATAGCGGAGGAAGGAACATATAAACGGGATATTCAGCACAAAATACACCAGGACTGAAATATAATACAAGAGTACTCATTGCTTTGATCTCCTATAATAAGTTTACGAACACAAATGACAATCTGCAATTCGGTTGAACCAGTTTTTATGTACTAATTTAAATTTTGGCAAATGATGATAAAAAAGAAGAAAAACTGAAAGTGGTAGAAATAGACTATCTTAGAAGATCATGTAGGACATCTCTAGTCTTGAACAAAAAAGAAGAACAGGAAGGATTTACAATACCGTAGATAAAATAGAATCTAAACAACTTTTATGGTATGGACATGTAATGCGAATGGCGGACGAACCATGGCGAAAAAGACCTTAAACTAAGGTATATGAAATAGAAGGAAGAAAAGAATACTAACATTAAAATACAGAGAAGGAATGAGATGAACATTGAGAGATAGAGCCATAAATGATGAGGAATGGACCGACCGAAAAAGATAAAGATAGAAATGCGGCATGCGGCAGAGAATGTAGAACCCCCGTAGACGTTATACGTATTTATTTATTATACAGTGTTGAAACCACTTATCGAATAAAATTGTTTGTGTCCTTATTTTAGAAAATAATAAAAAACGTTGAGATACCTTAACTTTTAAATTTAAATGTACGCTTTTTAGACATAAATTTGAATGTACACGGTGATCAATGCAAGTCTGACATAGTGCATAATCTGTATTTTAAATGAAACACCCTGTATATTTTCATGATCTTAAAAGCTCCTTAACAACCCGATTTCAAAGAACTATATCATGTAGGGTCTATTATAAATAATACAAGGTGAAATTTTGAAATTAGGTATTTTCTTCAAGACAATGAATTCATAGAATACCCGAGGTAATTAATTGGATTACATTAAAATAAATGCTCAACATGTTCTCTATCTTGTTGTTGGCAATAACACAGTCTCCTATAAAACTCGTTCCGAACTTTGTTTAAAGTTTGAGGTGAAATATTCCGTATTTCTGTAGTTATCCTTACTTTTTGAGGTCTTCAATGATAGTTTATTGTATTGCATATACTTTGTTCTTGAGATAACCCCACAAAAATCCAAAGGCGTAAGATCTGGCGACCTAGCTGGCCGCTCACTAGTCCTTTTCATCAAATCCACTTATTGAAGAAGATTTCGTTCAAGTAATTTCTCACCATTAAAGCATAATGGGGTGTTGCACCGTCCTGCTGGAACCAGACAGTTTCATGCAGTAGGGTCGGATCTATTGGATTGGGATATAAGTTAGTTAACTAAGGAAGAACATCGTCTCTTAGCATGCTTAAATATTTTTTCTCTGTCAAATTATTATCTATAAATATAGGACCAATAATATGATCTCCTATAATACCTGCCCAAACATTCAACTTTTGAGGATACTGAGTGTGTGTCTCACGCATTCAATGAGGATTCTCTGCTGACCAATATCTACAGTTTTGCTAGTTTACCTCTCCGTTCAATCTAAATTTTGATTCATCAGAAAAAAGAATTGTGCCAAGAGCTATTTCATTTGTTAATTTTATCCATCATTCTTTTGCAGAAATCCATTCTACGATCCGGATCGTCTTCTGTTAGCTCCTGCACAAATGTCAATTTATATGGATGAAGTTTTCTTCATGGAAACACCTTAGGACAGTTGTGTGACTTACATTATTTTGACGTGCAATTTGACGTGAACTTGACGTTGGATTCTCTGCGACACTTAAAAAAATATCCACTTTCACTTCATCTTCAATGAAGTTCGATTTTCTTTTTAATGGTTTGGCATATCTAAGTTCTCTGAACTGTGCATAAATTTTAGACAGTACCTTGTGAAATATTAGGCAACTGAGGATACCTCTGATTAAATAAGTTTAGTACTTCAACTTGACTTCTATAATTCTCCCCGTAACCGATCATTATTAAAATCTCAATTCGGTGGGCCTTAGTTAAATATTTCATTTGTATTTCTGCAAGAAATTAGTTTTTAATTAGGAATTTATTATTTTCATGTAAAATATCAACAGCATGTCAACTGATTGATAACAATCCGCATTATTTACCGATTTAGTTTAATTAGCAGACTATCTATACAGTTTTTACCTATTCACGGCAAAAAATGTTAACACGGTTACTAAACAGAATTTTTCCCCAATATAGGTACAGTGTACTGACACTTAGAGTAGAAGTCTATTGTCTGTATTTAGCTAA